AGATGTGTAACAGCAAATAGATTGTTCCCTTATTGTATTTTTCTGTAGTTATTCCCAGCAAGAAGAGTTCCGGTTTTAACTCTAAGTCCAATATTAACATATCTCTCAACCAACTTCGTATCCTATTCCAATACTCACGGGCCTTTGGGCATTCCCACCACATATGGTAATATGATCCTATTGCTGATTTACATTTCCACCATAACGGTGAAATGTTTGAACCCCTTTTGGCTAACCTTACGGGTGGGAAATGCCATCTATAGAACATCTTGTAAAGATTCTCCTTGTACGAGGTAGTTAGAGTGAGTTTTCTATTTCTTTCCCACAGTTCTTGCCAGATACGCATTTAATCCAGACTTTTATAAAATGCTGATATGGTCTTTATTTTAAAAAAAATCCAAGTTAATCAGATGGATTTTACATTAAATATACTGTACACATACTGTACACAATTGTAAAATTTTATTGTGCAGCTATAAACATTATTTGCATTCTTGTAACTCTTACAGAATTGATCTGTATCAATCGTATGAAATTATAGAACTACCATTTATGTTACATTGCTACCCTTGGTGTGCTCCTATTATAATATGAAATACAATATCAATAAAGATCTAATATAAAGTTAGTAGCTTAACTGGAAAGTAGAACAAATTTCCCCAAAACTATAAACACATATACAATTTCTCCGACACATAATGTGATAAATTCAAAACACAAATATTACTGAGCATGCAGTACAATCATAACAGTGCTATAGCTTACAATGTAAACAGGTCAACATTTAAACAGAAGTCTTTCTTCTCTTCTAATTTTTAACCAATTTATAACTGAAACATACCGGATGATAACATTTAGCGCTTCATATTCAACCACCATGGAATGTAAATCTCCTTTTAGTACTGTTTCTAGCATAGCAATAATACTGGGTACCTGAAAAGATATAATGAGTTAAGTACAGCAAGACTTTTTATCAACTTTTAATTATAGGTGATGAAAACAAATCTTACTCACCAACTTTGCAACAGTATCAGGAGGAAAGGACTGCTTTGAGATCACCCAAAGTGCTCTTGTGCGAGTGTGTTTGTCTCCTGAATTTAAAGCAACATTGTTTAATGTAGAAAGTAGTTCATGTATTTCTATTTCTGTTAAAAAAATAGAAAAACCAGAAATTATTGTTAGAGGTATTATCACTATGTAATAATTGATAGCAACAATTTTCCTGGTCTGTATGAAATTCAGACTAATTTCCCTGTTAAGACAATTCTCCAATGGCTGCAGACATGCGGTGTCTAATTTTCCCTAAAGACCATAACACTAACTGCCCTGGGATTAGAGGTATAGGATTTATTTTTGACAAAAGTCAAGACACAAAGCATACTATGGCTTTTCATTCAAGTTCACAGAAATGGTATGCAGAAACATTCACTCTATGTTCTAGCAACTCATATGTACTTACATCAAATAATCCTAAATAACCGTAAATAAAAGTATGTGGATACAAAGCAATTCGCTTCCACATATGCATCCATGTGCATAAAGGGATGGCTCAACTGTTCTGTACAGAAACCGTTGTTCTGGATAGGGGTTTCTTTAATAATGATGTATACCTCTGGCAGTATGCCAACAGATAGGAAAAAATATGCCAAAGAACTGCTCATGTGAGTATTTGATGTCAGGGAAGTCCACAGGTTATTTGTATTCGTCTTTTGTATTTTTAAACTCTGATTAAAAATTATTATTTAAAAAAATCATTCTTGGATCTCTGCAGGTTTTATTTTGGCTGAAACATGGACCAATCAAAAGATTCTGCCATTTATTTATGCTGAAATGTAGCCAATGGGAAACAGATTTAAAAGTAACATATTCCAATTCATGGACATTTCTATCTGTGATTATGTAATTCTGTTAGTTTATCAATGTTTATAATACAAAAAGGTATTTACCACATAACAAAGAAGAAATATTTGGATTAAATACACAATATCCTAAAGCTTGTAAAGCTGCACTGCTCAACTCCGCATTTTCAGAAGGAACATATGTCTAAACAAGAAAGAAAACAAATCTAAACTCACACAACAGAAGACTGACCACTTATATTACTTCAATTTGTCAAGATCTGAAACTGGTATCATTCTCTAATCCAGAGCTGAAGAAGCTTCTTGAATGAGAAGAGAAACGTCTTCAAAGAAAAACAAGAAAGTCCAGTTGCCTCATGAAAAAGCATCTTTGGGACAACCATGACCTGGATGACTGAGAATCTCCATAGAAATCTCTAATCCAACCTTACCCAATCTGGTAAATCTCTAGATCAGGGGTGTCAAACTGCTGGCCCAAGGGCCGGTTGCATCATACGGAGGT